ATCCACACTAGTCTTGTATACTTGTTTCAGAGAGACGAGTGTGGATGGGAGAGTTGGAAGGGGTAGACCTCAGGGAACATACCTCAAAACAATGTACCTCCCCTGTGTTGCGTATCCCACGGCCTGCCTGCACCACATCTCCCATCGCCCGACCGACCGACACCACTCCCCTCCACTTCTTCTAATGCCACTTCTTCAAAATAGACTCGCCCAGGCCGAAAACCGACTTCTGTGCATGGGCCATGAAGTTTCAATCGCACTGTACATGCGCTCCCGCACGTGGTATTTTGTGGAAGAGCCACACTCAAGGGGCCAAAGAGCCGCATGTGGCTCGCAAGCCGTGGTTTGTGGACCACTGGTTTAGGGGATTTGTGTGTATTTGTTTTAAGATTTCAATAATTCTCACAAATTTTATAAGAAAATTTTTATTGAGTCTGTGTGTGTCCTACTTCACAAATAATGAGGAAAAGGGAGGAAATGGGAAGGTTTTATCTTTACCACACATGCACTATTTGTTTTGAGGTGTGTTTTTTTTCCTTTTAAGAGAAAGAATGATAAAATACTTCACTCATCATTCACTTTTTAATTAAGAGGAAGAAACATCAAACTCTATCCGCTAAAGTTTTTAGAAGTAATTTAAAGTCCATTAGTTTTGAACTGAGGCCATGGTGTATTAACTAAGAGTCAAGAGAACTAGGTCCTAGACCTGACTTTGCCTCAAATTTAGGGGTGGCCTTAGGGCAGCCACTTAAATGGTCTAAGCCTCAGTTTCCTCACTAATACAGCTGGGTGACTTGGATGATTTATTAGGTCCTTTTCAGATTTGATGACTTGATTCTATAATGAGAGAGAGAGAAAGAGAGCGAGAGTGAGAGCGAGAGCGAGCGAGCGAGAGAGAGAGAGAGAGAGAGAGATAGATACGTTTGGTGGTAAGGAGAGGGGAGGAGGAAGAGCTATAAAGAGTATAGAGGAAGGTGGGAAGATAGGAAAAAAGGCTTTGGGAAAGGGAGCTGAACATGGACGGTGTGAAGGGAGAGAGAGTGAAATGAGAAAGAAGAAAACAAAGGGCTTGAGAGACAGATGGAGTCAGAGAATGGAGAAGGATGATGATTTCAATGGGTTCTCTCTGTGTGTGCCAGGGTTGTACTAATGCCCATCTCAACCCTCTACCCTACATTGTGGCTACTAGAGCAGGGTCATGACATGTTCCCACTGCATCTGCCATTCACAATTCTTTATCCCAAGAGGTCTGCTCATCTGGCTTTCCTTTCACATCTCCAAGAGTATATGAAATAAAGGTTGATTTTTCTGTGCAGTTATTAAGGGTATGCATCTGTGTGTACAATCAAAATATGAATTTGTGTCAGTGTAGTACAATGTTATGGCATATTCTTAGAGAAGTCTATCTTTTCCTATTAGGTGTCTGTTACTCTAGACACACTTTCTGGAACTTCCAGATTTTTCAATAGTAATTCTCATGAAATTTTGATTTATTTTAAACAGAAACTAGATAATAAATCTTTAAAACACTCCTAATAGAGGACAATTTCAGAAAGAACATTGGACCTCATTGTTTAATCTGTTGATTCAATTAACTTAGGGTCTCTCCCAGAGTCCTCCTCAGCCCTAGCTAGGCAGTTTTCTAGTTCCAGTTGTCTTTCTTTGCACCCCATCATCAGCTTAATATTGAGTTCATTGTGTGGTATTATTCTCACTAACACACTCCTTTGAGCAGATGAAGGCCCCCTTTGGCCTATATAGTTTAGAAATACTCATCTGACTGACCAACCATCATTACAGGAACTAATTGAACTTTCTGCCTCCTTCCCAAATGAGGAAATATGTGACATATTATTAAAAGCCAGTTACATACAGATGTTTATTTTTTCCCCTTCTCAATTCTACACTATAACCTTCCAACTCCACCCAATAAAACATACCATAATTCAACACAGATTCTTCCATAGAATCAGAGAATCATAGCATATATGAGTCAGAAGAGGCTTAGAGATCTATTTATCTAGCAATTCTCAACCCTGGCTGCACATATAGAGGATATTTTTAAAACTACCAATGCCTAGGCCCATCCCATATCAAATGAATCAAAGTTATTGGCCTGGGCATAGGTATTTTTTTAAGTTACATCTGGAGATTTTTAAAATATATTTTTATCAATTTCAGAGAGGGAGGGAGAGGGAGAGAGAGATAGAAATATCAATGATGAGAGAGAATCATTGATCGGCTGCCTCCTGCACGCCCCCCACTGGGGATCGAACCTGCAACCCGGACATGTGCCCTTGACCGGAATAGAACCCCTTCAGTCCTTAGGCTGACGCTCTATCCACTGAGCCAAACCAGCTAGGGCTCATCTGGAGATTTTAATGAGCAACCAAGATAAAGAATTTAGTTCAACCCCTCATTTTGCAGATGGAAAACCAAGAGACTGCCTTAGGTAATTGAGATTTACTTCAGAATATTGGAGGTGTCAATACATGTATAAAACCATCAGCCCATTCCATTTGACATTCAAAAGCTATATGATTATCTTGTCTGTAGTTTTTGAAAGAGAAGATTATCAATTCCCCAATACCTCAAGTTTATACTTAAAGCAAATTAAATTAAGTACAAGGCACGATCCAGAGGTTTACTGCCACAAATTTAAGTCAAAGCATTTAGCTACACTGAGCAAATATATACTATGCCAATTTTGGTGTTTTAGGGCGCTGTCAATAATTTATCCAATGGAGGAGAGCATTCACTTTGAAAACCCAATGTGGTAGACAATTTAAAAACCCATTCTGTCCTGTTTTGGACTTTCTTTGTAGTTACTATTGAAGTTGAGAATGTTTGATGCTTTTGGGAGTACCTTCAAACAAAACAAGGAAACCACACTGGGAAGGCCTCACTTAGGAGGTAAAGAAAGGCAGTCTAGTTTCCCTTTTACCCCCTGCTTAACTCTTCCTGCTGAGAAGAAACAGTTCATCTCTCCAACTGATGCAAGATTTGTTCTGGTTGCCAAATTCCTGTATCTTAGAACAAGGGGTCAGAGGTAGCCTCTTAAAGCTTGAAAGACAGAAACTTAAGTGAAATAAAAAATATTTCTATTTTATACAGCAGACAGTAACCTGTTACTCCAAGAGTCAGTACAGGCTAAAAAAGAAATATATGAATACTTTAAAAAATAAATGAATAATTTTTAGAATTATTATTTCGATAATATCAGAGGATGACAGATATATGAAGAACAACTAGCATTTGAAGAGAAGGGTTTGTCCTATACCAACTCAGGGTTCTCTGGTGGCTTCAAAAATAGATACTATCATCAATATATTTATGACATGAATGTGGAATGTGGCTTTTAGTCAGAGTGATAATTCTGGCATTCAACAATACATTTCCAGGAACATGATATCAACCTTACAACAAGATCTGATGATTTAAACAAGTAAGATTTATTATTGTAATTAAAATTAAATCAAACACCTGACTTTTTCATTTGATTCCAACTGTATAGGCTATTGCCCTGTAAATACAATCTCATCTAGCCAACTAGTTAAATTACACCTTTCAGTGCCACATTTAGGCAAATAATCAGTTTGGTCACAAAGATAATTATCAGATCTGATACAAGAGTGTAGCAAAAGTAAATAACATATGGGGACAATATGAGGTGTTTGTATCCTCTCCCTACACCTGCCAACACCATACTAGAATTTGCAAAGACTAAGGTCTTTATTTTGGTTATAGACTGGGTACAGAAAGGCACACTCTCCCATTACTAGCTATATTTTACAAAACTCTTCTTCACACATCTCTTTTCAAAGTTTTGTTTATGCTGTCTTCTCTACCTAGGACTCCTATAGGGGCCAGATGGGTAATATAAATTGATGAAATGGACTGAGTATGACAATAGAGAGTGATGGGAACTGTGTCAAACTGCAAAAAGGGCACCTACTACGTAGAGTTCCAATGAATTGTCACAATGATACCTAAGGTTGATAGATTCTCCAACCTTTTTAAAAATACCCAGAAGGCCAGAATTTTATATTTAATCTCACAATGTCAAAAATCTGGCTACTAATTTTTGTAACCATAAGGGTCAAACAAAAGTGGTTACCAGTTTCTTACTTGTGATATAGAAAAATCCTATTCTTCCTTCTTTAAGACACAGCTTCAGTGTTGGGTCTCTAGAAAGCCTTTATCCACTGATCTGTCTCATCTGACGTACTACCATATTTCTAGTGTCTTTTGTGCAATATGTCCATAATCTTTCTTGTGTAGTATGATATGACCCTCTGACTTGACTCTAATCTCATTAACGGCAGAAACTATATGCCATCTCTAGCACAGGGCCAGGACATATTAGCAGCCCCTCAATAAAGATCATGAATTACAACACAATCAAAATCAGAACAGAACCCCTGGTAAAACTCAACTATCTTTCACTAGTTGATTCATTAACAAAACTTTCATGAGCACCTATTATATTATCAGCACCATGTCAGGTGCTTTGGGATAACATTAGAAAAAAAAGGTGTGCCCCTGCCCTTGAGGAACTAGCAATCAAATGTTGAGTCTAAATGAACAAAGAGGGGATACATAAAGTAAAAAACCACACCATTACTCAAAGTGCAATGCATCACTTCCACATAACTGTTCTAAACAGCACTATCCAATAGAAATGTAACATGAACCACATATGTAATTTTAAGTTATCTAGTAGGCATATTAAAAAACATAAGAAGAAAAAAGGTGAGATTAACTCTAATAATAGACTGTAACCCAATATATCCAATGTATTATCATTTTGGCATGTAATTAATATATTTTTTAATATGTAATGAGATATTTTACATGGTTTTGCACTGTCTTCTAAATCCAGTGAAAATGTTACTCTTACAGCCCAATTCAGACTAGCCACATGTCAAGTCCTCAATAGTCACTTGTGGCTTGTGAATACCATACTGAACAGTACAGCAAGAGAAAGAGAAGCTCCTTACCTTACTGCCAAAATGGGGATTGATAAATGTCACATTCTCCAAAGTCAGTAGAATTCTATGGGGTCCTTTAATCAACTGGATTTTATTTATATGACACCTGAAACAAGCATAATGTCAGCATAGAGAGCTGGATGTTTTTCAAACCCAGGGTAAATTTGTCTATGATAAAAGTTTAAAAATACACAAAATAATTGAGAGAATAACCACACATGAATCTTTTTCCTAGTACCCACAGCAAAAAGAGGCAACCACCCTGGTCCTCACAACTTGAAGAATTACAAAGACTGAAAGAGAAAAGTAAAAATGCTATTGAAGAGACATCAAAGGGAGGGGGGAAAGTGTTGTATGGTATGATATCTGAGATCAAAAAGTGGTGTTCCCACATCAAGGGCACATTCAAAAACAACATCTGAATACTTTTAAAGAACCCAATACCCTTTCTCAAATAAGCCATAGCTTATTTTCTAATACCAGGGCAAATAATTATTAATTTTTATTTTATAGACACAAAAACACATTAAAGAAACAAATAAAAATTGAGCAAATTGTGTGAGGCAGAGCTGGAACTCGAATCCTTGGTCCCTGGCTGTGGGCCCAATTTTCTTCCCACAAGACCACTTGTTTTACAAAGTTGCATCTATGTGTTGTCAAAGCAACAGTTTGAAAAGTGGAAAAATTCAATCAGTTGGTTGCTTTATCTACTTGATTCCAAATAAGTGGGCTTTACCATTGTTGTTTTCTTTTACTGAATTGGTCTCTTGTCTGAACATTACATAGACATGGCTTAAATCTGATTCTCTGCAAACATGCCTATTAATTTGCACTGAATGTAATTCTTTCTTAAAAATCAATTACTAGACACATAGGAGTTTATGATGTCTACCCACATAGCCAGGTAGGTCATCTCAGTTGAGCTGATGGGACAACTTGAGGACCTGGAAGGAATCTTGGATTAGTCCATGTGGTTGTTTGCTTTTGTTCTGTCTTGGGTGACTGACAGCTACAGTTTGGCTTTAACTTTTCCTGTACCCCTTAATGATTACCCTGTGGAATGTACTAAAGCTGAGTGCCAGAGTGGGGAAAACAACTGACAATTTCTTTGTCAACTTGCTCTAAGAAATCTACAATGTCACTGCAGCTTTAAGTACCAGCAACCCAGTCAGTTTTTCCAGTGATTCCACTGGTTTTTAAACAAACAATTAATGTGTTTCTGTCTGCCAACAAATATGTCCTTTATCATGTGGGAGGTACTGCCCTGCAGAGAAAATTAAAAGAGCCCTGTAGTGAATTCTTGGGTAGACCACATTAATCTATTGGCAAAGTAAAACATCTCTCCCTAACTTATCTGTTACATATGTGTAGGGAATTGTCTTAAAGCAGGCACACCTGTCAAAATAATCATGCTGCAGAATATATTCAAGTAGAAAGAGAACTGTACTCCCAATCCAAAGACCTGGTGCATAGTGTAGATTCTGTCATTTATTAGCCAAATGACCTTGGATAAATAATTTAACCTCTTCATGTCCTCATCTATTAAGTGAGATAATTCCCCTTGCTTTACCTGCTTTTATATAGTTGTTTTGAAAATCAAATGAGATAAGATATGTGAAAGTGCCTTGAAAAGCATGAAGCACTATGAAAGTATAAGGCCTCATTATTATCATTATCATAATTAGTATTACAAAACACAGGAGAGCTTTATAGAAAGGAGAGGCAATCTGTTTTGGATGAGAGAGAAAGGAGGGGTTCAAAGAATCCTTTATTTTGGGGTGGTTGAGTTCTTTGTACGTTCTTAATTCTGAAAAAAAACAAAAAACTTAAACAATCAAAACACAGAAAATGAAGGAACAGAGAGTCACTCTCCTGCAAGTAATCACCATCTATTACAGAAACTCATCAGCCGCTCAGCTCCTCTGATTGCAGCCGTGTGGGCAGAGAGAGGGAGGGAGGTAGCAAAGAGGGCATCTTTTGTGTTTTGTTAGCTAAAAACCAAGAACCAAGTGACTTTGGAAAATGATGTGCTTTTCTCCCCTTTCTGAGTTTTCTGTGACCACTCCAAGTACCAATTGTCTCAAACTCATTTTCCTCTCCAATCATTTTAATCTCTAATCATGTCCCTCTCCAATCAGTTTCCTCTCCAGCCTTCTTTGCCCTTCAGCCCACAAGCTCCAAACAAATGTCCGCCAACCCCACGATTTTTGTTTCTTTTTTTCCTCCCTTTACCAAGAATTGCAATTGAGCTCACTCTAAGCCCAAAGAACCAGTGAGTTCCATGGGAAAAACCAGTGAGACCAGTCCTTTGGGGTGGGGGTGGGGGTGGGGTGATAAATAACACAAACAGCTGAGTGACTCCATTTTCCACCTTACCATGAGATGTTTTGGCACTGGGTAGCCAGAGCCCATTAGTCCTCAAATCTCCCTGGAGTGGGAAGTTTTTTGATTGAATGAAATTTATTTTCACTAAGTAGGTAATGATGTTATTTAAATACTTTATTCTTTGGAAGCAGCTAAATTAAAGACATTAAATTTCTGCTGTGAGCAGGGATATGTAACAGTCACAGAAATTAAAAGAAAAACTTTTTGTAAAGTAATGTTTTTATTGATTTAGTGGGCAGTTAAACAGATATGAGCAGAGTAGGAATGATAAACCAGGTACAGAAGGTCATCAGGGCAGAAAGCCCGGGGTGCGTAGCAATGGGAAAACAAGTACTGTAGGGTGGGACCTCGACCCCAGGAGTGCCTTTCCTCCCATAGCATACTGCCAGTCATGTGATTTAGACTCCATGACCTTTCATATATCTGGTCATGTTGTTTGGACCTTCCCCTGGCCTTTTCTTCCTTGGCATGTCACTAGTCATACGGTAGACCCCCTTCTAGGAGAAACAAGGGGGCCAGAGAATAGCCTCATATTACTCCCACACAAGCACTTGCATCACCACTCCCTTAAGCATTAAGCCCCCAGTACAATGAGGCTCTGTCTTGCATCAAATAATCTTAGGAACAAAGCCTCAGTTCTGCTGACCACAGAGACAGAGTTTTGGTCAAACTAGAGATAGCATTTAAGCCTCAGTTGTGTTTCAGCTCCAAGCTTAGAAAAGCAGCAAAACCAGATGAAGTGACACCATGGCTGACATGAGAACTAGTTTCAATGACTAATAATCTCCCACCCCGAGCATCAACCAATCAGTAGTGACCATGACCATAAAAGGACACACCTGGGAAGCTGATGAATATTTTATTGAGATGGTACCCTAAGATCTCCCTTAAAATTCCCATCTTTGGAAAACAGATAAAACCCCTTAAGACGAAGGACCCACTCTCTCGAGCACACACATGCCTTTCCCCCTTTCTGTTCCCCAGGTGTGTTTTCTTTGCCTTTCTTTTCCCCAAGTTCCAAGGGCCTTCTTTTGCCGCTGTAACGTGTTTCCTGGGTCCATGCAGCTTAACTGGCTCAAATCTTCTACAGATCACTTCTACCTCTGTGACTTTCTAAATAAACTTCTTATGCTGGAGTTCTTGGCACTGAATTCTTTCTTAGCCAAACTCAAGGACTGAGGTCTAGCTCCACTGGTAACATCTGATGTGCAGTCCACTGTTAACATTTATCAAGTGTGTTTTACCAATTCATAAGTTATCTACTACTCTGTGTGGCTTTCTCAAGTTTCTAATCACAGGGAGAATGGATCACACTGTTTTTTTTTCCACAGCAATGTCAACATATTAAACACTAAGAGCTACTTGTTATAGTTTCAATCCAGGATCTCACAGTCATTAGAATATCATAGCTGGAAGGACTCTTGAAGATCATCTAATCCAATTTCTTTATTTTAAAATGAGAAAATTCTGGCCAAGAGAGGTTTAGTGTCCGGTCCAAATTTATATAGCTACTTAATACACTCTAGACCAGCAGTTCTCAACCTGTGGGTCGCGACCCCTTTGGCGGTCAAACGACCCTTTCACAGACCCTAAGACCGTCCTGTATATCAGATATTTACATTACGATTCATAACAGTAGCAACATTACAGTTATGTAGTAGCAACGAAAATAATTTTATGGTTGGGTCACAACATGAGGAACTGTATCTAAAGGGCCAGAAGGTTGAGAACCACTGCTCTAGACATTCTTTCTTGAAGCTAGCCAAAATAGCTCCATTCCATTTCCTACCAAATTTGCATCACATTGCTGTCAGCACCACCCTTACAAAGAGAACAAAGGTGTGGCTTGCAGGGTGGAAAGCTTAAAGCAGGAGAGTAGTGATAGATTTAATTTTTCACTCTTCCTAAATCATTCTAGTATGGGGGAGGGCCCAATTGTTAAAATGCAACGATTATAAGAAAAGGGTGTCATATTAAGCCATCTTCAGCCATTTATTCCTGATCCTGAATTAGTTCATCAGAGTAGTTGGTCACCTATTAAGGGATTTGAAGGAGAAAGACAAAGATGGTGGTGATGAATAGCTAGGAGAGCTTTGGTCCAAGGAAGAAGGACAGTAAAAATCTGGAATATGATACCCTAGGCAAAAGTCATGAATGTCAAAGTGGGAATTCTGGGCTCCTAACTATCAACAGGCAAGTCTCATATGCCTGGGAAAGAGTTAAGATTTACCATTTGATGAGCACCTACTATAAGTCAGGTATTGTTCTAGGTACTTTACTTTGGTTTCTTTAACCCCCACTACAGTCCTGTGAGTTAGTATCAAAATCACTAAATCTTGGATTCTAGCCAATTCTGCCTAATTCTTAGAACTTTTAAAATGCCCAAACTCCATTCCCCACAAGTCTATACCATTTAGGGAAGGAAAGATTCTGCCAGTGGAAAAAAAGAGGACAGATAGGAAGTAGACAGGCCCTAAAGTACTACTAGTTCTCTTATTTCATGATAATGTTGAGAGCCATATCTACTCACAGGCAACAACACTGACAACACAACTGAGGAGGTTATTCTTGGCATCATAAAACCACTTCACCCTAAATGAGGCCAGTAAGAATGGTAAATCACTATGGAAAAAAGAAAATCAGTGGGTCATGTAATGAGGCAATTGTACTGCAACATGACTTCCTGGAAATCAATATTAACAAGGTTATTATGGGCTTATATTTTTTATATAAAAAACATTAAAAATGTACCTTATAAAGTAAGAAAATCCATTAATAGATAGCAGGGTTATAAGCAAAGCAAGGCAGACCATCACAGCAAAGACAGGGCCCATGCCTTGCAGAGAGCAAGAGGAAGAGAAAGAATGGCATTATCAAAGAGAGGCTGTAAATAAATGGCACCACAAACAGACTCTTCATGCTTTCTGGTGACTCTAAAATCAAGCCACATCTACCTAACTTAATCCTATTTTTCTACAGCACAGTCTGTCTTGTTGACTTTATGGACATAGAAAGCAATTTCACTGCTCTGAAGCAAAACCACTCACCACTCTGACAATAGCAAATCACATGAATTAAGGCTGACCTGGGTGTTTCTTTGGAAGAAAAAGTCCACGAATGGAAAACTTTGAGAACCTTATTTTATGTTGGATAGCAATAGAGTCTTCAGCATAAATATGTTATCTCACCTGTGAAGGGTAAGTATTATGTTGCCTTCATAAAATAAAAGACCGTTTTAATCCACCAGTCCCCATAGACCTTGTGAGTTTTTTTATGAAAAACATAGCATTTGTCCTTCAAGGGTGAGTCTGGTTTTGATAATTAGTGTTTTCATCAGCATATAAATTGGTCTCTGGAAAATCTAAATATTTGGATGGATTACTAACATTTCAGAAGGAAAGTATATGATGATGTGAGTAAAAGGTGGTTGGGTATGTCATACTAAAGCAAAATAGAAATTAAAGTCCATTTCAAATATATGCATTTCATTTTAGAAGGTTGTGGTGTACATTTACATATCAATAATATGGATCCTTCCAAAGTTCCCTTCTGACTTTCAGAGATTTGGTGGAGTTTCCCTGCCGGAAGCCGGTCCATCCTTGCTGCTTGACACAGTCGCTGCAGGAAAGAAACATCTGCACAGCATATGTTTCAAGGGACCTGGCATATATAGCATATTGTTCTTAATATGTTTGCTCTCCTTAGTGCCATGTGTTTTAACCAAGGTCACCTCTCCGAGAAAGGTTGTTTCCCCAGGTGGGGATTTTTTCCCTGAGGTTAGGGAGGAGATACAACCCCTTAATTAAGTGCCAGGCGGGTAGTTAAGCTACATAATCTTTACTCCCTGGAATGGAGATAAGAAACGCCCTAACCTTTGTAATAGAAATTGACAGGATTAAAATCGGCTGGTATAAATATGGATGTAACAAGACAATAAACATCAGATCCTGATCAGTTCCTAACCAGAACTCCGACCAGAACTTTGGCTGGAGATCCTGGCTAGAGGTCCTGACTAGGCTGCTGACCAACTGAAGGCTGTCTTCGTGTCATTCCTTCTTCGCCGACTCCGTCCACACCTTTGGGGACCCCTGGACCCGCTGGGATTGGACCCCAGCATTTCCCCTCTTCCACAGGTCAGAGTCCCATCAGTCAATCAAACTGCAAATATTTATTGGATGCTGTGTCAGGCAGTTGGGGGGGGGGCATAAGAATTATTAGCTATAGCCCCTACCCTCAAGGAGCAGTCTATTTGGGAGGGGGGACACAATCAATATACAGGAAACAATTGAAAAGCAATTTTGTGCTAATCTGTGAGGTACAGACTTTTAGTTCAATGGGAGTTCAGAGAGGAGAAGGGCTAGATATGGTATTTCTTCAGTGGAACCTGATCCATAGGATTTGGATATACCAAGGGAAGGACAGGTGATCTTTCTAGCAGGGGGGGAAATAGCAGCCTACAAAAGATGGAGGAGAAGGCTCGTGCCTTTCTCTTATTAGAATAACCCCTCTGGGAGTAGGATCCTTTTAAAAATAACTAGGAGATACAGAGAACAGACTCATGGTTGCCAGATGGGAGGGGGGCTGAATTGCTGGTGAAAAATTTAAAGGGATTAAGAACTACAAATTGGTAGCTACAAAATAGTCATGGGATGTAAAGTACAGCATAGAG